GCAATTACAAATCGGAAATAAGAAGTATCCCGAGTTCAACGCAGAGAGCTTGTCAGAAGCATTTTACTTTTTAAGAAAAACAGTGAATTTACTGAATCCAGAACAAAACAGTTTGAATATCTCATATAAACAATATCGTAGTAACAAATTTATAATAGGTATATCATTAGAAAAGATGCAATCAGTTTCATTTACAGGTGTAAATTCTAAAATGGGAAGCTTAATCACTTTCAGACTGAAAGGAACGGAAGGAGCAATTGCAGAAGCAGAGCAAATATCCGAAGTGTTCTGCCATTTAGTTAGCGAAAGCATCCTTGAAACTAGAAGCGATGGCAGTTTGATTTACGATTAATTTATTGGCCTTATTCAAATTATTTACTATAAAAATACTTAAAAAGAAGTTATTTATAGTAATTAATGGAGAGTTTAAGTAGTGAAAAGTTCAAGAACGGTAAAATCTACTTCATTGGAAATTTTATAGATAATGATGTTTATATTGGCAGTAGTTGTCAGTCATTACAAAAACGATTTCAACAACATAAAGACAGCATGAACTCATACAAGAAAAACAGAAAGTTATATTCAAAAATGCTTGAACTAGGTATAGAACATTTTTATATTGAAGAGATTGAAAAATGCCCCTGCAATAACATTGAAGAATTGAGGAAGAGAGAGAGGCATTACATCAAAGAAAGGCAACCAGTATTAAATAAACAAATACCATTAAGGACAGAAAAAGAATGGAGAGCTGATAATAAAGAACATTTACAAGAGTATGAGAAAAAACGGGGTCAAGAAAATAAAGAACAATTGAGAGAATACCAACAAAAATATCATCAAGAAAATAAAGAAAAGTTAAAAGCACAAGGAAAAGAATACAGAGATAAGAACAGAGAAGAGATATTAAAAAAGAAAAGAGAACATCACCATAAAAATAAAGAAAAAATCAATGAAGAAAAGAAACATTATTATCAAAAAAAATAGAGGCAGGTTTTTAGAAAAAAACAAAAAGTATCAGGAAGAAAATAAAGAAAGAATAAAAGCAAGGAACCAAGAAATAATACAGTGTGAATGTGGAAAAAGCCACCAAAGATGCCAAAGGTCAAGACATCTAAAATCAAAATTTCATCAAAATTTTCTAAATAATAATATAGAAAATGAATTATCGGAAGAAACAGGTTCCAATGAAATATAAAAAGCAAATGAATATGTTGACAGGTAAGCCACAAGGAACAGGAATGTTCAAACATCAAGACACTCGCTATTTAGCTTGGTTGAAAAAACAGCTAGATGAAAAGGAAACAAGAGAAAAGTTAATATCTTATCAAAATGACATAAGACAGGCAAATGAAAGAGTTAATTATAGAAACCAAGTTGATAGAATGATGGGTGATATACAGCGAGACAATTTAAACCACAATACCTTAGAACATTTAAAGAAACAAATCAATCAATTCAAAAGCTTGAAATTTGGTATGTAAAAAATAATCAATATATTTTAATTATTATCTAATTAAAATTATATTAACACTGATGACAGCAAAGCTAGAAAATGTGAATAAGTTTTCAAAACTTGGATTACGGAGAAGACCAACGTATGAAGAGATAATCGGCTTACTTGATGAAAATGAGAAGCTAGGACAGCCATTACCAAACCGAGATGCCACATTTTTCAGAAATTCCAATGAAGGTAGTTTTTTTGATGGAGTAGAACAAATGGAAGCATTGAAAGACGAACAACAACGATTATTATTAAGACAAATGAGTGAAGTTTTATTGAGACAAAACGTAAGAACAGCAGGTAGAACGTTTCACGTAGAAAGAAGTAGACAACTACCTTTACAAAGTCCAAGCATAATACCACAAGAACCTATGAATGTAGATGAAGAAGGGGGAGAGCAACCGGCACAACAACGCGGAGCAGGACAAAGTCATCCAACGCAAGCCCCGCCATGTACCAGATTACAACAGGCTTCACAACTGAATGCGGAACTATCACAGAGAGGAAACAGAGCAATGAAAAGAAAAGAAGAAACAGTAGTGAACCACAGAGGAGAAATGTTTAAACAAAACAAACCAACGTTAGCAGAGCAGATGCTAAACATCCAACCCCCAAGAGCTTTTCCAGAAGTCATATCAATAGCTACTAGTGATGATGATATCAGCGACCCAACAGCTACATCAAGCAACCAACCAATGAAACGAGACAATCCAGAAACAGAGATAGAACCAAAAGGAAAACGAGGACGACCCGCGCACAGCGGCGCGAGTGCTTCGCGACCAAAAATGGTACAAGAAGGAACTAAGAGAGCAACACCAGCAATAATAACAGTGGAGACAAAAGGAAAAGATGGACGGCCAAGATTAAAAAGCGGGAAAGGGTGAAAAAAGAGACGGAGATGTTGAACCAGAAGAAGAAATACCAAACAGAGCAAAGAGAACAAACAAGACCAAAGAAAAGCAACAAATGAGATTAGAAGCAAGTCTTAAAAAGGCAGAAGCGGAAGCAGAAGCAGAAAACGAGAGCAAACCAGAACCTACAAAGAAAGGTAGAGGCGTCAAGAAAGACAAGATGAAGAGAGAACCATTAGAACCAAAGTCAATACCGATACAGGAATTGAGAAATGAGTTTGTTGATGCCCTTAACAAGAAGATGATTACAAATGATGAATACAACGAATTTCAAGATATATTCAATGAATGGAAGAAGGCTAGGGGCAATGCCAAAACAAAACACAGAAACAAAGCGAGACTGCATTATGGAAAAGTTCTTTACAATAAACTCAAAAAGAAATATGAAGACGATGACTTGTAAAACATTAAGTTTTAATATTTTAGAAAATCTCTGATTTTGTAATGAAGTCTGTTTCTTAAATGCCTTAAAATTATCTTGTAAAAAAGTATTTAAAGAAATATTATATATATAATATTAATATGACAATGATACAACCAGAAGACATGACACTGGAAGAAATCAAAGAACAATTAGCACTATACAATAGGCTGTATTATCAAAAGAGAAGACACGAAAAAGATTTTATGGAAACCAAAAGGTTAAGTGCTATTAGACATAACCGTAGAAAGAAGCTAAATGAAATGGTGGATGATGGAAAAATAGAACTTAAAGACATCAACTATGACAATAAAGATGTAAATGAAAGTGATAAAAGCACAGTCAAAGCAACCAAGCCAAGAAAGTATAAAGGCACAACATATAATATAATTTCCACTGCATAATTATTTGAAAATATTTAATAAAAAATATTTTATTGAATATTCATCCTTACCCCAGACCCTTACCCCAGACCCTTACCCCAATCCATCAGGGTTTGATTTCCTATTTGTAGCAGGGCCTTACCCCAGACCCTTACCCCAGAGCCTCGGGGAAAGCCCCCCAAATCCTTACCCCAGACCCTTACCCCAGAGCCTCGGGGAAACAGATTTTTTGAAGACGGGGGCCAAAAACCCTTACCCCAGAGCCTTACCCCAGACCCTTACCCCAGAGCCTCAGGGAAAGCCCTCAGGGAAAGCCCCCAAGACCCTTACCCCAACACAACAGGGATTGAACCCCAAACTGTCAGGGATTGAACCCCAGCCAGCCAGGATTTGAACCCCAGCCGGTCAGGATTTGAAGCTTAAAACTGTTAAAATATTTCTTGTAAAAAATGATTTAAAGAAATGTTTTTATAATACTATTATATAGTCATGTGTATCTTGCATATGTCGAAATCATCAATAACTTAAAATTAAAAATGAATGATTTTTTAAATCGCTGTGGAAATTGTAGCACTAGAAAATATGAAATTAAACAACTATTAAACTATCTACCTATGGAAACAGTAGAATGTATTCACAAGTTTCATTGTTGTAGTATATGTGAAGAAATTAAATGTATATTGGATAGTGAAAAGAATGTATTAACTCAATATTTAAATGAAGTAGAACAAAGAACATTATTATTATCTTATTATTTGAATAAATTAAGTAAGTTAATACATCCAGACCAAATTTTTATGTGGGGGCAATTAACAAAATATAATATTCATGGTGGGTTTTTTGATTGTTTAATTATTCATTATAGAGATTATGAACCATGTGAAAGGTTTTACAGACTTAAAATGAAATTAATTGATGATAAAAGTAAGGAAAAGGTAGAGATTAAAGAATTACTTATGAAATATTATAACCAAACAGAAGGACAATTTAATAAAAGAACCAAATATATTTTTAGTAAATCATCAAAAGAATATTTTAATAAACCAATGTTTAGTTATTTGAAAATAGAAGAAATTAATAAAAAAATATTACTGTAATAAAAAAGCATTAGATGAAACAGATTTTAATTTCATAGCAGTAGTTGAAGCACACAATGGCAATGGATATTTTAGCAATATATTAGATGCTTAAATATGGAATATTTTTAATATCACCTTTATTAATATGACAGATGTTAATAAAGATGATATAATAAAAAAAAAATATCTATTTTGATAGGTCAGGCTTCGGTTCAATTCAAACAACTTATCAAGACGCAAAAAAGAAAGAACCATCAATAACTTTAAATGATGTTAAAGAGTTCTTTAAGAAGAATGTAGAAGTAAAGAGAAAGCAACGAGGGTTTAATTCTTTTGTTGCCCCTCATAACAATCATACATATCAAA